CGATTCGTCGGTCTACGACTCAATTTCAACTCTCCCTCCACACTCAACCTAAAAGGCTTTAGCCCAGGTGATTTTTGTTGTTTTATTAAGGTTTCACCGGGACTTTTATTGAATGGCCATTTAACAAAGGTGTTGAGTACTTAATTAAGGTTGGTTGGATAGGAGGTTTGGGGCTTGCATGGCTAAAGCGAGGGGTATGAGTGTCGAAGGTGGTTGGGGTCGACTCCGTGTAGTGTATGGACTGTTGATTTGGTTCGTTGATGTGATGACAGGTATGTGTTGTGAATCAGATTCTGGATTTAGTTGCCTACGATGACACGTGCACGTATTATTGTGAGAGACCCCATCGAAACTCTGAGAAGTGATCGTCACATACTTAACCCTTATATAAGTATACATGGGCATGCTTGGGATGAATATCTGCATGGGTTGAAGAATCCCCATATTAAAGCCCGTCGAGAAGCTGGGACTGAAGAACTTTGGGGAGACCCCTACTTCTTTTTTTATTCTTGCTTTGTTGATTTTTTTTAGTCGAACGTTTGGTCCAAGGCTGGGATTCGAGGTCCTTGTCCAGGACATCCCAAGCCCTAGGCTCTGCAAGGAGAGCCTATTTGATTTGCCTACCGAGACGATCAGGTCAAGAGCGTAAGGCGTAGCGGCGGCTGCACGACTATTTCCTTCAGCCGTGCAATGTCGTAAAGGGTTAGGCCCTCACGACACTTCAAGTTTGACACTTGAGTGTCATAAGCGGTACTCGGATCCACGAGGGAMCKCTTGATTATGGGCACTACATAGTACGCCATCATTGCGACTGCTTGCGTACGTTTGCATTGCGAGTCGATATGAGTAGGGCCTGCGTCCGCGCGCTTTTATCCTAAGTTTCGCGCGTCACGACTATTCGATTTTGCGTCGGAAAGTTATGGGACGGCTACCGAGGGGCTAGGAGCGTTGTCGCGTTGTTTGTGTCATGTCGTTTCATACGTGTGCGTGTACATATTTTTATGTTCTTGTGCTCGTAACGTGGAGTGCGCGTGGTGTGTGGGAAGCGTCCTAGTCGACCGACGATGAGTCGCGCTTGGGACCTCAGCCCCCCCAAGATGTCGGTTCACGTGGGGGTCCGATAGAGGCGTATTACCGCGCGTACCCCCTATGCTACAGCGAACGAGAAACGCCCTCGGCTGGTCCACCTCTGCGATTGCAGCTGATTAGCTTTCGTACTGTGGACTGGTAGCTCGGCGGGAATACGCCCACCGAAGGGAGGTGACAGCTCCCGTAAGGTGTAGGTAAGTCGTGCCTCACATAGGCCCTATCCTGTCGTAGGGGCGCGCGATAGGTATGGCTGGCGCACCCGGCTGGAGCGGCTTCTGGAAGCTCCATGTATATTTGCGACGAAGGGTTGTAAAAAACCAACTCCTGCGTGACGCGGCCAGGAGGGTCTCGTGCTGCCCCCGTGCGGTGCCGGACCGTTTGCGCCCGACAACGCGCCGTTTTTCGTTTGGCTGTTGTTGGTTTCGAGCTTGCGGTGACAATGGCGACCCCTCTTGCCCCGATGACTGAGACGTTTCCCGGAGGCGGCCGGTTTGTTCGTTACTGAACGAGGACATGTTTTCTTGTCGAGGTTGTCGTCACGAAACATGCGGCGCTCACGCCGAAGAAACGCCATCGTCATTGCAGCGAGCGGCGCAGACGTTCTCCATCGCGCGCATGCAACGTGTGCGTTCTTTGTTCTGGAACCCGCGGATGTTGCGCGCACAGTCCTGGCATTTGTCGTGCGGAATGCGATATCGCATCCCTCACAAACAGCGCCAGGAGCGCACGCTCAACATCCATGGCCTCTATGGTGGATCATGTGCACGTTCTGTGCGCGGGATGGAGACGATAGCAACTCTTCCGGGATTGACGCCATAGTCTCTTCGGGGAGGGAGGCTCAAGTGTTGCGGCGAGAACACAAATACAGAACGACGACCCCCTCCTGTTTACGAATACCTTACCTCTCACTGCACGCCACGTGGACGGCGGACATCCTTCCCACCGTGGCCACCGTGTTCCGCTGGAGACAGGCGATTTCGTGTTTGCCTCGACCGCGCGGAAGTGGTTTGCAATGCCCAGCTTGTGATCAACGACAATTTTTCTTCAATGCCAAGCCAAACAAGAGTTGTGGGGGCGGTTGCGTGGAACGAATGAGAGAGAAGCAGAACGGGACACCCAAACTGTGTGCCCCGAGGTCCACGTCACCCGTTCCCGCCCTCCCAGCCACTTGCGACACGTGGCACGACATGAGGACAATGATGACGACAGTGATGAACACGATGATAGTGACGATTACGGTGCTGATGTTGATCTGGGCGACGATGTCGCTGGCGATAATGACGATGTTGATGACGATGATGATGTCGATGATGATGTTCGTGATGATGATGATTGTGATGACGACGATGATGATGATGACAATGATGATGACGATGATGACGATGTTGATGATGCCGATGACAACGAAGAGGACGATGGCGGTGATTTCGATGACGGCGACGATGTCGCTGATGATGATGATGTTATTCATGACGTTGATGATATTGATGATGATGTCGATGATGATGACGATATTGATGACGTTGATGAGGTTGATGATAATGTTGTTGATGATGATGATGATGATGTTGATGAAGAAGATGATGATCACGACGACAATGATGGTGATGATGATGATGATGATGAAGATGATGACGCTGATGGTGGTGGCGACGATGATGGTGATGATGGGGGCGATGATGAT